ACAGTGTGGACTGAGTGTTTAAAGGAAAAGAAATAGTGTACAAACAATGATGTAGAGAAACCAAGGCAGCAGATTTTTTGCTCTAATCTCTCTGTGTAACAATAGTCGTGTTACTGTAACATCGGGGAAAAAGCAGATTCACACAATAGGTTTTTGTTTGTCACGATAGACTTCTGAGAGTAGACTTGAAGGCCACACTGCTGCGTTTACAGTGATATTTCATATACATTTCTGTAAAGGAACTGAAGCTCATTTAAAAGGATGACTTTTTTTGGTCAAAATTGAGTTCTGCAGTCTGTCCAGTAGCACCGTACACTGTGATAACTTGCTCTTACAGCAATGAATCCGTCGTTAGTACAGTCCTCGTCTACAAGGTCATGCAGTAAGCGTTGCAGTAATCTCTTGGTTCTTTCTATGTTGTCTCCACAACCGAAAACCAAAAATCTACAAAACTTGGATGCATTCATTGAGACATTCATAGATGGCATCTCTCACAACTCACAGGTAACTGCTCTGTCAGGCAAGTAGTGAGAATAATGACGTGTGCGTGGTGACACTGGAGCGGTTTTTAGCTCCTGGTGCATCCTTCCATTGTCTTGGTAGATTTAAATTTTCCAAACGGGGTGGGGAATGGGAGAGAATGTATTTACTTGCTGTGAAGTATAGCATCTCCTCTCCTTTGGGCAGCAACGGGAACTGAAGTTAGCGAGCAGATGCAGCCTTGATGGTGGTTTTCCCTACTAACTTCTCTGTTAAAGGGCTGCCTTGTTCTCGTAAAGCTGATTGCTCTGTGTATAAGTAATATCATAACTGTTATGAGGATGTTACTGCTTAGTGTCTCGCTATATTCCCCTTTTTCTCTTCTATTTTTTTATTAGTCAACTTGCCTATTTCTTATAGAAATAGATAAATGAGAACCGATGTTGACACAGCGGTTTTGTGAGGACAGTGTTAGTATTATCTTGAATGGCTTATTCGGGCCTGCTGCAGACAGGGAATGGAGGATACCTGCTCATCAGCCGGGAGCTGAAGGCTGCACTGTTTAATGCGTTCTTGAGGTACTCCACTTTTAATCAAGATATTTTTTTCCTAACTTTTTGTGAAGTATTGCACTGATTCCCACTGGGAAGCTTTGTTTTTCTCTTTCTGTCATAGGTTTGGCTTTCTTAGGCTTCTACAAACAGGAAAAAACCCCCAGTTCTCATTCTTTCCTGTCCTTACCGGCCAGGTTAGGACGCAGTGAAATTCTCAAGATTTCCATTCTGTTTTCACTGTTTAAAAACGCTCTGTGGAGCATATTGAACTCCACCACTGGGACTGGAACAAGCATTGTAACAGAGGCTGTCCCGCCAGGTTGTGCTCCTTACTCATCTTTTTTCCCCTTCTGTCAGTGTTTGTCGTTAAGCAACACGTTTGGAAGAAGTGCCCCTGGCCAGCAGCAGCACTGCTTTTCTTCCTGTCATTTCTGCTTTGTTATATTGACTCTTAAAATAGTAGCATACAGGTTCCTGGCAAGTAAATATTGTTTCCTTGCCAGGAGTATTTACTGCAGTGATCAGCTGGTACGCCCCGTTTCCCCAAAAGGTACGTGCCCACTAGGAGATCAGGGAATGGTGGCACTTAAAGGGCTTCTGCTTTTTCATGCTTGGTTCTTTAGGAGGATTGTAAGTTCCTCTTCTGAGCTAAGTATTGTGGCACTGTAGGGTCGTCTTTTGATACACATTGCACGTGTATGGGGAGGTATCTCCCAGCCTTCTGTTCCTGGTTCCTTCTCTCTTTAACACAACTGTTGCTGTTCCCTCAGTTCCTTCTCATGGAGTGCAACCCCTAGAATTTCTGCTGTGGGAGAATTTGGAGTTGTGAGAATTGACCTGTTTAGGGACTGATTAACTAATACAAGTTATTCAACATTAGTTTAACAGTTTTTAAGTTGTCTGTTGGTTAGTACTAGGCGTTTTAACTGTAGTTAAAGCGTCTTCCTTCTGGATGAGGCTAAAAAAGGAATGGATTTGTAGCTCAGAGCATACTCTTAAGTTCTTCTGCAGTGACTGCTGTTGTAGCATCAAAGTATGGCATAGCCAAAAAATGTGCTGTCTGCACTAGTGCTTGTATTTATTAAATCCTTAATTAATGATGCTGTGCATGGAAAAGACCTTCTCTTAAAGCCCTGGATCCAGTGTTAAAAAGGCACGCGTGAGATGGCAGTGATATGAGTGGTGCTTTCAGTGAGGTAAATTTTTCTTAAAAGCGAGATGCAAACCACTGCTTAAAGGAAAGTAGATATTTGTAAAGGTGCTGAGGCCATTAGTGTGTGTTTGTGATTACCTTTTCAGTAAGGTGCGAACAAGCGTTTTCCCTAGAAGAGAAGCAAGTTTGAAGTCACTACAATTACAGGATATTTTATGCAGCGTGGTTAATTGGAGAGACTTCTCACTTCACCCCACTTCAGTAATTCCAATAATTGATGCCTTTATATGAAAAATCCTGCTGTTCTTTCTCCATCAACACGTTATAAAGTGATTGTTTACCTAGCTAAGGGAATGTTTCTTTTCATGCTGCTCTGTTATGCACTTGTTCTGCGAGGGTGCTGTTGTGCTCCGAGTTGTACAGCAGTGCTGTCAGCTGCAGGTGCTGTTGTGCGTGTCCACGACACAGATCACTGGAGAATGAGCAAACTCTTATGTATCTAAAAACTCTTACGTGGTCAAAGGAAGTTTCAGTTTATCCTTGAGGCAATAAATGACTTTGAAAGACCAAAAATTTTAGTGCCTTATGTTTCTGCCCCTCATCGTCCTCTCCCTCTACTGGTCCCCATCAAGACAGAAAGTTAAACGTAGCTGTTGCTTTTCTCTTAATCATTTACAATAGTCAAAGTCGTCTTAAGTAACGCTAACGCTGTGCTGTTTCCTTCTATATAAGTTTTTGTTGTTGAGAACTGAGTTCCAATTGTCTGAATGCATTTTCTGTGCTGGGCAGGTGATGTCTGTAGGGATAACCATACACAGACTTGGTAAAAATGTCCTAGTTTCGTCATTCGAGTACGTAGATCTGTATTGAAATGTATTTAGGAGACCCTCGGGGGTTTGGATATCTTGACTATCCGTTCTCTTAACCTGTGTGGGGGTTGAAAGGGAGCCCTTACCAGCCATTTGTACCCTAAAATGATTATTTGTGAAAAATTAGTACTTTGGTATTAGTTCTGAATGTGTTCAGCAATGGTAATCTGCTTTTAAGTCTCTTCAGAACAATGAAAAATGGCACACAGGATGCTTAAAAACACCAAACAGGCAAAATCCCAACCAGCCAAACCACCCTAAAACTTAAAAGTATGCCAGTGAAATCCTGCTACCGAAGCGTACAGAGAGAGCTGATGAGTGGGTAATGAAGCTTAAACTTCCAAAGGATTTTGGGGGGTTTTTATTAACATAAACCTGTGACATAATTCACCTTCAGAATGGTTTTGAGCGCTCTGGTCTTTGCAGTTTGCTGATCTGTGGGTACCAGTGCTGAATTAGTGAGCTCATGCTTTGTTTTCCCAGTTAGCTCAACTAGATTTTGGGAGTAACACACTGACATCTGAGTTGACAAGTCTTGCTGGTACTGATATTTTTAAAGTTTGGGAAATATTTTTAACTAGTAAAGACAATTAGGCACATAGGTATCTGCCACTCTAAACATGCTTGTGATTGGAGGGGGAAGAGTTATTTGCTTTGTGTGTACGAGTATGATAACATAAACCATTAAGATAATTCGGTAGCGGAGCATTCCACAGCAGTCGCTCTACTCTGAAGAAAGAGGAACCTTAAAACTTATCTCACCATAATTAAATTTGTATTCATACCCTTTGGTATAGATTAATAGCACATACTGCGGCAATAACTAAGATTACAAGAGTGTGGCTGTGCTGTCATTTGTCAAGTAAGTTCTTGCTCCAACCAGTCTGGTTTTGCTAACAACACGCATGTATTTGATATTCATGCTAAGTCAAGAGATTTATTTTTTTTAATAGAAATACGCCCAAATTGTCACACCGATGTGCACAACACTCTTGAACCTTTGGTTTTTTTAAAGTTCACTACTGGACAAAGCGTGTTTCAGATGGTTTGAATACAGAGTAGTGTTCTGCACTTTGACCCGTACAAATAAACTTCTACCTTTCTGGAATGTCAGACTGCAGCCACCTGGGCTCTGCTCTTTGAATGGGGCCCGTTCACACGGCTCAGACAGTGGGATCCGCACCAGATCCGCACCAGCACGGGGGGAACCGGTCACTTTTCTGTCCTCGTCACGGGAGGTTTTGTGAAAAACGTTTTGTTTAAACTGACTGACGAGCAGATTTTTCTCAGGCAAAGTTTGCAGTAGCCTTATAGCGCTCTTTAGCTGGGTATCGGTGGAAATTCGCTGTCGCTTAGACATGAGTTTTAGGAGAACTGAATGTCTACAAAGTATTCTGTACAGATTGCTCAGACTTACAGTTGCAAGGTTCCAGTACTCCCAGTCTGTTGGTAGCGCTGTATTGATATTGTAGCAAAAACTGTCACGCACTTGGTTTTCTTGCCACTCGTTTATGTTTTTGTGGAGTTGTTGGTAGGAAGAGAGAGGACTGAAAAGTGATGTAAGGAAGGAATAAATGGATAGGGTCAAAACCAAGCAAAACCCAGGTTGTTAGAGAATAGTTACTGGTGTGCTGCAGCAGTGGTAGTTTGAAATATACAGTGTGTTGGTAAGAAGAACGTCTAAATCAGACTGAGACTATTGCATGTAAAAGCCTTACTTCCTAGTGGCTTGAATCTCTGTGTGAAAACGTTGTCTGTTCTTAGACTGGATCTTGAATACCGCCCTTCATTTTGCTTGTGAACTAAGGAAACGTTTAAATGGAGGCCTTGAAAGTCATGTTCTAGAATATTCTAGATTGCAAGATAAATAGTTGACTTGTTTTGTCAGCTTGGGAAAGAGATCTGATCATCTTGTGCCAATGTGTTTTCTTGGCTTCACACTAGTTTTTGACGATGGTGATGAAAGGACCTTGAGACGAACTTCATTATGCTTGAAGGGAGAAAGGCACTTCGCAGAAAGTGAGGTAAGACAGTGATAGATGTGCAGTGAAAACTAAGCAGTTCATTTATATTTTTTTCCTAAGAAAATACTGCAAACTAATTTTGTTTCCCCTTTTTCCACGTAGACGCTCGATCAACTGCCACTAACCAATCCAGAGCACTTTGGAACTCCAGTTATTGGGAAGAAATCCAATAGAGGAAGAAGATCTTCTCTTCCTGTGTGAGTTTCCGTAGTGCTCCGTTGCTTTCCTTTCCTTTAGCGTCCTTTGCTAAAATTGAAGTAGGACCATTGAGACTGTAGTGCTCTGAGTGCTCTGTCATGGGATCTGTGTACACAGCTATAGACTTCAGTGACTCAGTTGACGCAGACGTGTCAGCAGTGTTATGGAATTGATGGGGTCTTCACTTGGAGCAGCCTTAAGAATGTTGATGCTTCTTTCATATAATAGGAACTGGTGTCAGAGAATCACAGAATGGCTCGGTTGGAAAAGCCCTCTGAGATCATCACGTCCAACCGTTCCTGTCTACCCCCTAAACCATATCCTTAAGTACCTCGTCTACCCGCTCCTTAAACACATCCAGGGATGGTGACTCCACCACCTCCCTGGGCAGCCTGTTCCAGCTTCTGACGACCCTCTCAGTAAAGAACTTCCTCCTTATCTCTGACCTGAACCTCCCTTGGCACAGCTTGGTGCCGTTTCCCCTTGTTCTATCCCCCATCACCTGGGAGCAGAGCCCAGCACCCACCTCTCTCCAAGCTCCCTTGAGGCAGTTGGAGGTGGTGATGAGGTCTCCCCTCAGCCTTCTCTTCTCCAGGCTAAACAAGCCCAGTTCCCTCAGCCGCTCCTCATCAGGCTTGTTCTCCAGAGCCCTCCCCATCCTTGTGGCTCTTCTTGTGTCAGGAAATGTAGGATTTTTACAGTTCTTTTTACATGCACAAAGTAAGGGAAAAAAGGTGCTTTTAAATTTGTAGGGTAGAGACCATTTTTCTTTGTTTCATGTCTGTGCACAATCAAATCCCAATTCATACCTCCAATTCCAACATGATGCTGTTGTAAAATACTACTACTGGGAAAGAATTTCTGCAAAATTCCTCTTCTGAAGTAAGTGCACTTAATATTTAAGTGTATTTTAAGTAATTCCTGTTCTTAAAATTCTGATTTATTTTTTTCAAGCTCTGCAGAACAGGAGGAAAGATCTGGTTTTCAGCTGTATTTGCTTTCAGATATTAACTTCAGGAAAAAAACCTTTAAAATCCTGTGTGTTTTAATAATCTAGTACTGAAGATGAAAAGGAAGAAGAAAGTAGTGAAGAGGAGGATGAAGATAAAAGACGTCTGAATGATGAATTGCTTGGCAAAGTTGTGAGCGTGGCCTGTAATGCTGAGAAATCAGACTGGTATCCAGCTTTGGTAAGTCAAGACATTGACATCTCTACTGTCAGACGACTGAAATCTTTTAGGAAGAAGTGTCATCTGACTTGCTGCATCGTTTGTACATCAGTTTTCCTGCATAGGGCAGTTCACGACTTTTACAGCACAGTTGCAAATGCAGTCGGGCTAAGCTCTGCTGCCCGTGTTTGCTAAAAGTGCAGATATTCTACAGTGTCTACGAAGAGTAGGAGAACAAAGATTAATGTTTATGTGTAAATTACAGGTTTATGGCTTTTAAGTCTCAAAAATGCCCATAAAATGGTTGTTGTGATTCGTTAGGGCTTGCACTCCCAGACAATTTGTGACTAGATGTATGAATTTGGAGTTTTTAGTCTTTTCTTTGTATTTAATGATTGCCTTTGTCCTCAGACTTTCATTTTTATTAAATAATAGTTCCTTTCACGCTTGCATTCACATCAGTGGCCAGCTACTCTAGTGGTAGAGGTTACTTACTATTTTTATTTGACTGGCAATATAGGAGACCGCTTTTCATTGCCATTGCTGATAATACAGAATTAATGAATTCAAAACCATGTATACTTGTGCTGTAAATGTAGGTAGACCCTTTGTAGATTCTTTATATACAGAAAGGTTTATGGATGCATTAAAAGTTGCTTTCTTTAGTAAACTTTTTGGTATTGTCAGACAAGCTGTATACACATTTTGTCATTTATCAGATGTTTTTTAAAAAAATTATTCAGAGAATTAAACAAGTTTGGTTCACTAATTTTTGCAGATTTTGTTTCCTTAGCTGTATATTCTGTAGTCTTTTATTTTGAGTCTTCGTGATTCACTGAAATGAGCTCAGCGGTTACAATCTTCTAATTTAGTTTAACGTTTTATTTCCCTGTGTGAATCCAGGATCAAAACGTAACCATACAGGACAGTTTTGAATTTAACACTGTTCTAAGTAGGGTAGTGGTTACTGGAGGCCATGTACCTGTCCTGGTCTTTGCTACCTGAGAAACAGAAGTGGTCTTACCTTGATTTCTAGGGTAAAACTCCTGACTGTTTCTCAGTGGGGTGGCTCTGCTTCCATTGAGTCCTGGTGGATCCAGGAGTTCATTCGCATGTAACATTCTCTGTCTGTACATGGTCTAGAACAAGATGTAAACTTGTTCTGTTTGTGGTGATACAAACACTGCAAATGCACTTTTATCACCTTTTTTGGAGTCAGAGATGATACTGCTGTGGAAGGATGCGCTGGAGTCCACATTGGGTTATATTATCCACACCTCAAGAAAAAAAATACATGGACTACTTACCTCTTAGTGGGTGTGTGACTTTTTAAATGGATGCTTTAAACAGGTTTAATACGAACCAAGAGGAAAAATAAAACCAACAGTTTTGAGTGTACACATGAAACTGCAAACTTTTCTGGCTTGTGCTTACCTCAGACCATTAACTTTACTTGTTAAAATGCTCTTGAAGTTTGTCATTGTTGGCCTTAGTGATAAACATTGGAGTAGGTTTCTCAGAAATGGAAATGACAATAGAAGAAACAGGAAAACAGCCGTTTTCCTGCTGTCCATCTTTCTTTCTGTCTTTTTTCTGGGGGGAGGGGGGGGTTGGTTTTATTTGTTTGGTTTTTTTCTCTTGGGTTTTTTAGTTGTTTTTTTTCTTAAAATAAGTATTTTATCTGAAACTTCAGGTTGTGTCTCCCAGCTGTAACGATGACATCACCGTGAAAAAGGACCAGTGTTTAGTTCGATCCTTTGCAGATTCCAAATTGTAAGTAGCAGCTTACTTTCTTTAGATGTAGATGGGGGGAAAAAGAAGCAAAACTAATTACACATTGCTTCGGGAGCCAGGATTTCTTCATAAGGAAAGGGTACGAGTCTGTTTGTCATTCACAGTCCATTTCCAGCTAACTTCTTCTGGCCTTACTTGCCCACCTTTACACTGATGTACAAATACAGATAGAGTTCATTGGATTAGTAAAGTTTCTGGTGTTTCTTCATTAAAAAAAAAAAAGCCAAAACAACTCAAAAACCCACAGGTGTTAACACTGTAGATTATTCCTGTTCTTTGAAGTGTGAGTTTTCATTCTAATCATTTGCCTTAATGTCTTGATTAGTACCTTTTCCTGGGTGTCTGTTGTGGTGGTTAGGATGTCTGCTTGACTCGCTGCGTCCAGTGCCCAGATGTCCACAGCTGTTTCATAGCAAAGTTTAAAAGTGTTGAATCTGCTTTTTAATAAAAAAGTGCATGTAAAGTAATTGTTTAATCGAAATTTTTACAGAATCTGAACCAAGATTCCTGTGAAAAGTCCTAGTAGTCCATCCCACCTCAAAGGGGGAGGAAGAGAGAGAGATGTGTGTCTTACTTAAGGAATAATAAATTCAAAAGAGTACGAAGGCTTTTTTTTAAAGCTGTTTTCCTAATTTCTCTTCATCTTTACTTCTAATGCATCTGTCTCACCACATTGTAACTAAAAACTTCCCTGCCAAAGGCTGGCTGTCACCTTTCTGTTTTTCTTTCAAAGTCAACTATTTGTGTTTTGTTTTTTTTTTTAAATAGTTACTATTTTGAGTAGGGCACAAGTACTGGATTACTGAAACATAGTCCAGGTGACCGAAGACTTAATTAATTTTGGCCTCTTAATGTAGATTTGTATCGTCAGCCTTCTAGATAAGCCTGGTTCTTTACATACCAAAGGTAGAACATTATTGGAAAAACATGCAGAATTGCTCTGGTTTACTTTTTTTTTCCCCTCATAGTGTTATGGCTTTAACTTCAGGAAATGGCAGCCTCCAATTCCTGAGGTTTTACCCCAGTTTTTGTGAAATAATGACAGAAGGGGAAAAAAAAAATCATCTTCTTGTAATTACTCACTTGTAAGGCTTTCCTTGCAGGTTTGTTAGCACTTCTGTTGTTGTAACTCAGTAACTGAATACGCAGTGTGACTTTGGAGCAGAGCAACTTCCACGTGTTCTGCTGTGAGAGCACTTCTGTAATTTTAAAAATAAAAATCAAGTCCTTATCAATGCAGACAGAGGAATTTGGCTTCACTGTTGTGCTATGCTGGTGGAAATGCATTTTGAAATTAGAGGGCTTGTTTTTTTTCATCTTGGCTGGATTGCAGGTTTGAGTAGCAACTGTTGATTGAATATTTGAACTTAGAAACTTTTTTTTGCCTATGTATTTTGCCTCTCCAAATTTGTGCAGCTTAAACATTTAAAATAAAGAAGCTTTACAAACTTTTCTTAATTCTTCTTTTTAGTGTCTGAATTTCAAAGAAAATGGAAACTTACTCTGGTTTTGAGTCTTGTATCAGGACCTACAGTAACAAATGCCTTATGCATTTAGTTCTTAGAAGGGACCTTGAAAGTGAGCGATAAATCTTGAAAATTTTAGAAATTGCTGTTTTTCTAAGTCAAATGCTTGCTTTACTGTGATTTAAAAACAACAACAGAACCTTATTCTTTTTCAGTTACTCCATAGCAAGAAAAGACATTAAAGAACTAGATGTTCAAAACCTACCAAAACCCGAGTCCTCTCCTACAAAAGGTAAATTAGAACAAATTCTAGGTGTTTAAAAATAAAATCTCGTGCAATAGTACTTTAAACTTTTGCAGATAAATTGATTTTCTGGTAATTGCTCCTGGACATTCTGCAAACAATTTTAAATGTGAAAAATTAGAGTGACTGTGGATATAACTGCCTTATATCTGTGTTAGTTTTGCTTTGTTGTTTTCCCCCTTGGAGCACCTCTTCAAGGACAAGAATTTGAGGTGTTCCCATTGTACAAATGTGACTTCTCCATCCCATCATTCCCTTACTCAGAAGTGTGTTTTTCCTTTGTAACAAACGTTAATGTCACAACTCTTTAAGCAGTGCCCTTAAACAAAACATTTGCCCCTCTTTTTTTTTTTGCTATCAAGACTTTAAGACATGAAGATATTTTGAGAAGAACAAAGCAAGTCCTGGTGCTTGATCTAATCGTGATGGGTTTACTCTTTTAAATAGCTTTATTACAGTATTTGGCTCTTTGATACAGAAACACAGCGGTTCACAGTTGCACAGGATGTACATGGATAAGCGTAGGCTCTTGTCTCTGTTACTGTTCACATACAGGGGTGTAAATCTTAGTGCACAGGGGGACCTGTGCCTGGAAAACAACTGGATGTTCTCAACTCAAAAGCTTGGAGTTGCCAATACTCAATTTTTAAAATTTGACGGTCTTGAAATTTAAAGTGTGTAAACTGAGTGTTTAAAGCTGAAGCATCTATTTCATTATTTAATTCAATTTTTGGATTAAGTTGGCGTTATGATCTACAAGAATATGAGAAGTAACTTAAGAATGCTTTGTGATTCTGAATTCAGTGGGTGTGATAAAACCAGGGCCCTTTCTTCTGCAGGGCTCCAGGAGGCAAGCACGTTTCTCATCGCAAAGGTTGTTCCTCGGATCTGGAAAATGGACATAAGCGAAATTCTGGAGTCCTCGAGCAGCGATGAGGAAGATGGAGCTGCTGCAGAAACTGATGAAGAGGAAGAAAAAAGAGAAGAGAAAACTGAAGAAGTAGTGGTAAGTCTGGCCAATTTCAGTCATTCTTCAAAGATAATCGAATAATTTGCCTGCCTGAAGATCCTGCACTTCCCAACATTTTATTCTCAGACTTTGCTTAGTTCAACATCTTTTCGGACCTGTTCATCTTCCCTTTGCTACAGCTGATTTTATTGGGGTTTGTGAGCAGTGGTGGATTTCCTCTTGTTATCCAGTGTGGAAACTGGAGACAAATCTCAGAAATTAACAATTCGAGACAGTGAAGAGCGATAAAAGAATGGGGGCCAGAAGAGACATGACTGAAAAAGTTGATGCTAACCTTAATAGTAGTAATCCAACCTTAAATAAAAGTAACTAGTTTTCTTTTGTACTTCAGGTTGTGTAAAAAGTAACTTGATTCTGAAAACAGTACTTTGATTAAAAAACAAAGACAAACTTGAAGCCAGAGCAGGAGGCTGACTGATGAGCTACTGCACAGTGCCTGATAAAGCTATTTGATGCCTCAGACACCGTTTAGGAGCAGGAGTTACCTTTGTGTGTGTTAGTTATTCCTTCACACCAGTATTACAGGTTGGGAGTCGTAGAATTGTGCTACTTTCTGTCTTAATATTTACAGTAATGTGATTTTTTTTTGCATTGGAATATTTTGAGTGGCTCCTTTTCCACAAAGTTAGCTGGTTTATTCAGGTCATCCAAAATGTATTTACAGAATTGCCTTTTATTCCTGTTACCTGTTTTTAACCTTGATGTTATATTTAGAAGTAGCGGAGGGTGGGAGGTTTTGGTTGTGGGCTTGGCTTCTTCGTTTTCTCCTCGGGTGATTTTTCACAACACGCTCGGAGACATTCCTGTATATAGAAAATAAACAAAGAGCGAGTGAAGTTTGTCTCCCGAGGGAGGTCAAACCCAAACCCCTTCCCCTCCCCTGCAGCGTGCGGGGTTGTCAGCCCCAGCGCGGAATGGCCCTTCAGGCTCGGAGGCGGCCTACAGCGTTGCCGCGGTAACCGGCGGTTGGGTGGCACGGCGCATGCGCCGGGGGGGAGCGGTCTCCGGAGCCGAGGCTTGGCCGGCGGCCAGGGGAGGTTTGCCAGAGGCTTTGCAATGGGCCGGCGCTTTTCTTTGCCTTCCATGTAATGTCTGATTTATTTTTTTTTTTCCTTTCTTTTTTTTTTTTTTTTTTAATGGAAGAGAATGTAAGTAATGCCGTATAACTGCGGATGCCGCGCAGGGAGAGAGAAAGCAAGGAAATATTTGGTAGTCAGGCTGAAATATGTCCAGGCAGTGGGCAGATTAGATAGAAAGGAAGTAAAACCATTTTACATTTGAAAGAATGCAGCTCCTAGGTAAGGATTGTCTGTTTTAATCTGTAATGTTAGCGTGGTTGTTAAGAATGCGGGTTTGACTTAGATTTGTGATCGGGGAGCTGTCTGCTGGAGCGTGCAGCCAGGGTAGATCTTTTCAGGTAAAAAAAGACAATAAGAATCTACTTTTAGGTGTTAATTTTATGCCTTGATAACTGTGCTCTGGAAAATGGAGTAGATGTCTATATGAGAATAATGGTATGATTAGGTAAATAGAATAATAAATGTGTGCAGAAGATAAAATCCTCTGGGTTTTTTCCTCTTGCTTGCAGTGAAAAGGACTGAATAGGCCACATTTTGTAGGGTGTGAACTGTTGCAGTCTGTGTTGGTCTGTTTGTATTAACGTTGGTTAAAATTGCAGAATATCAGTCACTAAAAATCAAGCATTGCTATACCAGTTTTCTTGTAACCATTTTTAATTTCATTTTCCTGGTTATTGGATAAAAGTGCTGTGTGTTTCAAACAAAGAAGGGGGAGGGGGGAGCTTGGTGGTTTGGGGGTTTTTGGTGGTGGTGGTGGGTTTTTTTTGGGTTTTTTTTTGTTTGTTTGTTTTTAAAAAAAGCGTTCCTGTAAAAGAAATAGAGGTTATTTTAAAAGCATAATCTAAATGTAGAGTAGTGAAGCAAAGCATTTCAGACAGGTAGATGTGCTGGTAGGAAAACCTGTAGAATCCATTATATCCAGGTGACAAGTAGGCATGTAAAATAAGGTGAGCATCTTCATGCTAAAGCTGTGTAGCAGAGGATAGATGAAAATCTTTTTAGATTATGTCAAAGCAGAGCTGTCATTCTGGCACATTAAATCAAATTCCTGATTCAACTGTAACAACACATGTTCTTATTTTAATTGTGGGCCATGCTAGATATTGCAATTAGACAGCGTTTAGGGAATTCATCATAATTTCCTTTTTCTTTTCCCTTAGAAAGGCAGTGGTACTGGTTCCAGAGAGAATCGACAAGTGAATGCTATTTTTTGGCCTTTATTTGGATACAGATGTTGGATTACTCAGTTTTGCATTTACATTTCGTAGAGTTTCTCCTTTATTAATCAAGGTCAAAATTAGCTTCTGTCCATCCTCTGCCAGAATATTCTCAGTGGACCTTTTGTTTTAGAACTGCAAATTGTTACATTACTAGAGATGGGAGGGAGATTTTTAAAATCACCTTCCCCCCCACTCCCATCTCCTGAAATGCACAGCAGCTTTGCTGTCAAGGCCTGGCCAGCTGCTGACCAGCCGTGAGAGGCCTTCGTTAAATCAGTCAAATGGGCACAGACCTACTTAATAGAGAAATGAGAGGATAAAGTCAGTCGTAAGAGTTTAATTCTGAGAATGGAAAGGATCAGGATCTTGGTTTTCTGAAGTAAGATCTTTTATAATGATAATGGAGCAGAGACCTGCTGTAGCAGGTGTTAATAGATCTTCCCATTTTTCCAGCAGCTGGGTTAAAATGCGTAACTTTGCTTTGACAGTGACTGTCTTTCTAATGGCACTGCCTTTCTCGACATCTTAAATTGGTCCAAGAAGATTTCCAGGCTTTATGTGGTTGTTTTCTGATGGCTTTTTGTAAGCTAAGGAGTGGGGAGCAATATGGTGGTGGTGAGATGCTAATGCTCCTCGTCGGTGGTCGCTCACTTGTGTGGTCCGGAGTTGCCTATGAAGGAGGAAAATGTGGACGTTGCTTGTCATTGACTTTAACAGGGATTGGGTTATGTTCAGTTGCTCAGCACGTTCAAATTGTTGGATTTTTGGCAATAATTGCAATGTGTAGTGCAACTCAGGATTACTTTTCATGCGCAGTGTGAGGTTTAAGTAACAAAACACACATTGCCTGTGTCACAAAAAGTGAAAAAATCGGGAAGTACCACAGCAAAAAATATTTTATCAAATGAAAATTTAAAGAATCACTCAATTGGTTTGAATCCACATAAAAATCTGGAATCTGCTTTTGGTTCTTATCCAGTTTTCAACATGGCAGAATAAGAGAATTAAATGTGTTTTGAGGGCCCATTTGGCAGTCAAAGAATGCATTGCAGCTAAAGGGAATGAAATTCTAAACTCCCAGATCTCCACATAGAAACAGAAGATTTTGGAACATTACTTGATTTTTATTAAAAATCAGGTTATATATACCACTGTATTTACTTGTATTTAAATTGTTCTTGCGGGGAAGAAATACTGTGTATTTGTTTCTCAGGATTAAATAGTCAAATGCTCCCCATTTTACAAGGAAATGTGAAGGCAACATTTGGTTTTGCCCCTTGGTCTCCCTGTAGGCCATCCTGATTCCACAAGAATCAAGATTTTGACGTGCCGTTATTTGAAGTACAGTTCTAGTACCGTGTTCTTCATAGATGCATTCCCATAAGATCAGAGTAAAAGTAAGACATTTGTTCTTCAGAGTTTAAATTTTGCAAGTTGGAAAATTGGATCCTTTTTATGTTATCAAGAGCTGGAAAAACTGATCTCTATCTTATCTGTGGAGTTGGTTGTAACACCACCTTCGAGAGACTCAGAAATGTTCAGAAACCAACTCCAGCTAGCTGCTCGCCATGGCTGTCATTGCAGAAAGAGTTGTAGCCCCTCCAGGTGCATGCTTAGAGGAATTTTCTCTTGGTCTTCATTTTGACAGTCACCTGAAGGATGTATTGGTAGTACCTTTAGTAGTGTGCATTTATTTAAAGTTTTTAGGGTTCTTGCATCACAGCTGCCTCAAGAAACATCAGTCAGAGTTGCTTTACGTTGTTGAGCAAGGAAGATGCCAGAAGCGTTTCCCAATTTACCTATTCTGCAAATAAGCCAGGATTTCAGCTGTCATGATAAGTAATTGCCATACAAAGGGTGAAGTCCATTGCGTGTTTTAGAAGGCTTGAAATTCCAACATGTGATAGTAGTCGCCCATTAAAGTAGTTACGTTTTGCCTCAAAGCAGTTCTTGTTTCCGTAGTCTTTTCTCTAAGTGACTGTGGGAGACCACATGAAGTGATACCTGAATTGGCCACTTCTCTCGCAGCCTGTGTGTATTTTATGGTAGCATCGAAAAAGCTGACTCTCAAAATTAAATACAGGAATAAAGTAATTTCAAAGTTAATGAAGCGTGGTATCCAGAAACAAGTGGTTTATTTACATACATTGAAAAAGACCAGCTGTGATGTGTAATATGCAGAATAGCCTTTTAAAAATAGCTAAACATTGGTTAGCTAATCATTCTCATGATGCATGCATTTGTAGGAGTTTGGGGTATTGTGAGGCATGGCCCACATCGCACCACGCACAAACGTTCTTCACAAACACTTCCTTGCTCCCAGTTTTATGGTAACAGCCATTCTCAGAGTGAAGCGAAGAGGTTGCAGACTGCTGCACAGCTCCAGAGTGACTCATTGTTGGGGATGGGTGAATTCCTGGAGCTTGTTGGTAGAAATTAACATTTTTAAGACCACTCTCATCTCCACATGGCGTAAAGCTGTTAACTTGTTGCAGTCATTTTAATTCATTTCATTTCCTTAATTAGTGTTTCAAAGTTGGCATCAGAAAGCAAATGTGCAAGTGATGAAAACGCACTGAAGTACTCTGAAGCAACAAAATTGCGTTAACTCTGATTCTGGCAGCTTGTCTAGATCATACACTCTTCTGAACTCCGAATCTTGCACACATTGTTCGTCCTCCTAGTTTGCCTTTATTTCACACGAGGTTTTGGTACTGTCAGTCTGTTAATGACATAAAGGAAAGATCTGTCCCTGGTACCGTAGCCCCGCATTGATTGAGTATGTGCTGTACGTGCTTGTAGGAAGAGATTCATTCTTTGATTTGTAACATAAACTTTCATCCTTTGTGCTCTCACTCAGCACTACAGGTTAGCATCCACGGAAAATCTAACATTTTTATGTAGAGTCAATGATGCATTAGGATAACAGAGCTATGTTCTTGTTCACAGTCATGCTACAGAGACAAAGCTCATGATGAATGAAATGCCTTGAAACCAAATGAAGCAAAGCCAGTTACAAGTTTTCTGTGGGTTTTGTGTTGTATTTATTTGCTGGTTGTTATTCACAAATAATTTTACGGGATACTTGAATACCATTGGTATTACTTGGAAGGCAATAAGAAATTGAGTTAGGACAAGAATATGTCCTGTGTACAGAGATGCCGTGTTCGTTGTTGGTTTAGTTGGTTTACTGTTTACAGTGTTCTCTAGCTGATGTGACCTGCTACTCAAAGAAAGAAAATACCTCAAACCATAACGAAGTTTTCACATGCTCCATTTAATGGCCATTGGATGAACAACAGAAAGGTCTCAGTTTTGAACTCCTGCCACTTAAAAATGTCATTTTGTTTTGGCTCTCACTTGGACTTATCCTTGGCTACAGTCTCTTTTTTTGTGACACCTGTATAGGAAAAAAGTTAAATGGAGAGACAGAACTCTCTTAAGAAAACTGGCTTTGAACAATTGTCACTGTGAACTTCTGCCCAGTTTAAAATGGCCATAGGAGTCTGGACAGGAGAAGTGAGTTTTGGAGGATGGCGGTGTCGCCCTGGTGCCTGCTGAAAAGAGATGCTGGGAATTTTAATTCTCCAGTCACTCACCTGATGGTGATGGCAGCTTGTGGCATCAACATTTCTCAGGTGTTTTCTGTACTTCGAGTGAAGCTTTTAAAGGTTGCTGCTGATGATTGATGCATTTAAAATAAAACTAAATGCTAAGTCACAACAGTAGATACCCTGGGAAAACATTATGCCCAGTTACAGATAAATAATCCTGATGAAAATTGATGTCTTGCAAAAATTTGTGTACCTTAATGTTGCAGTAATCATATCCATGAAGGGTTGAGCTTTCTCATTTTGGCCAGTAGCAAATAAAAAATGTAAAAAAGGGTTAGAATAGCTGATACACTATTTATTCTTCAGTGGCAGTTGTTCAGGGCTTACTCTGGTCACCTCTCAGAAGAATTTGTTGTCTGTGCTGGCACTGGTACCAGGCACGGCTCAGGCTCTCTCTGTCAAGGGGTGCCACCCGAGCTCATACACCAGCAACAGAGAAAAGTAGCTCCAGGACTCAGGATGTCTCTCGTAGGTTCATGAATATTGCAGTCAGGTTTTCTGCCCCAATATTATGCGTATGTTAAACTTTTCATCTTTCCTTTTTGCTTTTCTTCAGCTGAAAATATGTGCTGTCTGTGAAATGGCTAACATTCTGTCTGCAGGAGTGTTATTTCTAACCTGCGTTTCTGCCGTTCTGACCTACAGTTCTGGTTTGGTGTTATGCCCACATAAAAGAAATGGTTTGAAATCAGCTATTCAGAAATATTTCTGAATGTTTACTGTTATCTTGATATATTTGGTTTGCACAGTTTGAGTCGTATTGGCTTTAATCAGTAAATGTTATGGTAGATGGTAGAAATTTCTCGATCCTAAGTTGGTTCGCAGTCGAGACAGAGAGAAAAAAGCCATGGTTTCTATAGCAATAATTCATTTGTTAACCTAGGAGAAAATAGTAATTCTATAGATAACTGTTTCTCTTGATATAATCCCTGTAATGCGCAGTATGAGGAAACGGTAACGGATGCTGTGCAACGTTGTGATTATTGATTTGATTTCCTCAAATTATTTCCCAAGAAAAAAAATGCACAAATAAGGAACAGATACTGTCTCTGCCTGATTGTAGGTGATCCCTGTTGGGCTTTGATGCTCGGAATTCACTGGAGCAGGCAGGGCTGAAAATACATTCTGATGCTGGGCAGATTGCTCTCTGGTTAACAAGGCTAATGTACATTTACATTTCACTGCCTGTCTTCCTGCCTTGAAGCTTAAAGTTTGCAGAATGCAGAGATGACTGAAATCGAAATTGCTATTCTGGCTTCCTTCTGGAGCTACTTGTGACTTTTCTGTTATTTTTAATAACGTAATGATAAGATTTTTTGACACGTACTGTACGTCTTTCCTTCGAGACAGCTGCGGTCTTCCTTGTGCAAACTGCCTCACCAGCAATCCCTGTGATTGCCAGGCTGGCAGGAAGAAAGTGGCAAGCATAAAGCGTTGCAGGGAAAAGATGCATCTTACTGTGTTTCCTTATTCGTGGTCTCTGCTGGCATCTGAGAACTCCATGAAATACATGTAGATGTGTAGAAATTATTTCCCATCCCGTAATAAATGTACTTTATTTTCATGGTTTCCACCTGAATAAAATAAAATCTTTATTTCACACTGTGGACTGCTTACCATAAAGTTTATAAGCGTTTATATCTTTGAGGATTTAAGTCGTAAAAATAAAACTAAGGAACTTATAATAATTATGGAAATACGTGTTCAGGGAATTATAGAAATGAATGTGAAGGTGTTTCCAGATACAAGCTGAAATTGAGTCTTGGAGCTTAATCACAGCACAAATACTGTCTGGAGCATCAAAACCAGGAGTGGCTGGAGAAAGAATTGTTCTGCAACCTCAGCTATAGTTGGGGTAAGGAAGATGAATTAAACAAAAAAAGCCCAAGGCAAACAGCTGTAGCATTCCTGTGAACAGCTTCAGCCTTGTAACTATCAGACCGTTTTCTGAATAAGAGCAAGTGTATCAGTGTTCTCATTTTGAGGGCCACACTTAGATTCTTTCTGTCATGGTCTGAACTTTTCCTGACCTGCATTTTCTTTTTCTCCTCCCGAGATGTGCACTTCAGTCTCTTGAGTAAATTTTGCTTTCTGCATATTTCACCGTTCTGTGGGTGCAGGGCCAAATGGGAAGTGGTTTGGGTTTAGTTCTTGCTGTTAGGCTTTTATACAAATAAATTATTTTGCATATTTCATGTTTTCGTTATGGCTGCGTTTGTTTTCACAGCCTGAGGAAGAGCTTGATCCTGAAGAGAGGGACAACTTCCTCCAACAGCTCTACAAGTTTATGGAAGACAGAGGTAATACTGAAGTGTTATTGTTACTGTTGTTGTTGTTGTTGTTATGTCTCCACTTTTTAAATGGCGTTTGAAAATTGCTTTTCAATGTAATGGATGTTGTTATGAGCACATTCTCACGTTGGTGAAAAAGGATCACGGCGAGTCTGGTGCAAGGAAAAACACTTCTACCCGTTTTCACACGTGGCAGGTCTGCTTCCAGTGCTTTGAAGCACAGCGCACAAAGGAAACTGAAATCCTCCCTGGAGCGTTTTGTTTTTGTTTTGCTTTCACAAAACCTTTTTTATGTTAACAGTCCCTGTTAAATAAGCTCTTGGTTGATTTCTTCTTGTGACAGCCGTGGCTGGGAACTCTGCTGCTGTTAGTCTCAGGCTGGAACCTGAGGCGGCTGTTCCTGGATGCTGAAATTCAACCAGCAGAGAAGGGGACACGTGGCATCTTCAAGTCTCCTTGCTGAGCTGCCTTAATGGTGCGCAGATGTAGCAGTGATGCTCACCTGAAGAGACCATGATAAGATTCTACTTTGTGCAGTAGCTAGAACAAGAAAGTAGCATATTTTAAATGTCTCTCTTGACAGAATTAGGTGAGACTGTTACAAATTGGAGTAGTGAAAAGTCCTGACATCAGACATGTATTAGAAGTGCATGTGCTGTGTACAGAGAGCGGGTTACACTGCTGACCTGGGAGAACTGCTGTTGCACAAGCCATTCACATTTGCAGTTGTGATGAGACTGACACTAAACCGTGAGATTTTCTGTTACTTGGCTGCACAACCTCCCTTTTTTTAAAGTATATTTAAGCCTGGAAAGAGCTTTATCTTTTGGAGTATATTTGTCTTATTCATTTAATGCACAAACTCGCTCTTCCAATTGGAATACCATGTTAATCCAGCAATAACATTGGTGAAGATAGATAATGAGTGTAACTACTGCCTCTTTTCTTTCTTGACAAAAATTAATAGCTATATGTTGATGTACTTGAATTTGAAATAACCAGAGCTTGGTGTCTGAATATTTTACCCGTTCTTTTTTTTGGGGGTTTAAAATTGGGGCAGGGAAATTAAGGTACCTTTGTAAAAGAAGCCCTGCATCCCCATTAGCAGGGTGTGTTCTGGACCCCCGAATTGTAAAAGAACAGTGCCAGGGCTGTTCAGTGTTGCCACTTCTTAGCACAGGTTTAGAAATGGACCATGTATTATAGCAATGTATGCTGGAGTTCATCCAGTATATTTTTGAGGCCTCCAGTGTATAACCAGTGTTTCTGGAGAATAACCTGTCTTGAGCAGAATAAGAGGCTATATCTGGGAAAAAACCATATCCTTATGCTGCTGGACTAATCCACACTTTTCTTGCTTTTCTGGTAGCCTGATTTGTCCCCCTTTTCTGTTTTCCTCCTTCCTCGCTCCCTTTCTTAAGCACTCTTAGACTACAAACAAAGTAGAGTTCACGTCAGGGACTTGTAGAGGGAAAAGAAGAAAGCATTTGTGCACTAAATTTTGAGACTCAGTCACGAAACTATTCTTTAAGCTAGCATGTTGATGCAGCAACGTACGGGACTTCTTCAGGACTGGGTGTTTCCCCTTGTCTTTTTTTTGATCTCTGCCCTTATAGCAAGGTTTGTGTTCCCACCAGGTTTGTTCTACATTCTGTTCTCTCAGTGTGAATGTTTTGATCTGTATAATCATGACAGTGTTCCCAAAGTCCTATAAAATTATTTTCATCATTTGAAATATAATTGCATGAAGATGAGAAGCAGCAGGGAAAGGTTTGATGTCCGTCCTTGCTGGGAGGAATACTGTCTGCGTACACAGCCCCTTACCCCCAGTCACTTTTGGTTTCTCCTTTTGCAGTTAATTATTGTTCTTTATATCATTGCCACTCATCCCATTTGAGTTCTTTCTTTCTCCTGGAACCATCCCAGGTACTGGTATCCTGTCAGGGCTTTTTGCTCTTTTCACTTTCTGACATTTTGCCTGTGTATCTTTTTCTAACCCAACATTTTTGCTTCTTCACTATTCCTTTCAGACCACCGTATTTTGAGTTAATGTCTCAGCACGTTGCTACATTCCAGCATTCATCAGGTGTTCTGCAGAGCTCACTGCACCTCTGACTGCCCCCTCTCAAGATATTGCAGGCAATTGGATGGGGGTTATTGCACAGATCTGCAAAGGAGGTGGAGAACTCGCAGTTATCAAGCAGCTGGTGCCAGTATGCTAATAAACCACCCAGAAATAAGTGATACATTCAGAAGAGGTTAAAGCCTTAATTGGTGGTTGGAGACTACTGACATATTTTAGAATTATTAAGTAGAGGTGTTGAAATGTAGGCTGATATTAGTGATCAAAGGTGTGCTACAGGAATGGAAGAAGCCGTTTGCTGTTCCTTGTGGTAACTTCTTTCTTGTTTCGTTTTACTTAGGTACTCCTATCAACAAACCACCTGTTCTGGGCTACAAGGACCTTAATCTCTTCAAACTTTTCAGACTGGTGTATCAGCAGGGTGGGTGCGACAACGTAAGTGTCAGATGTTTCCTGAACTAAATGTGTCTCATTGTTTCTTAAAGGCTGTGGCTTGTGGTTCTGTTAGATGTCATTCCTTGATGTTCTTGGTTCACAAAACCTGAAAACTGCTGTTTTCTCTTTTTTTTTTCCTCCCCAAAGATTGAGAGTGGTGCTGTATGGAAGCAAATTTATATGGACCTTGGCATTCCTATTTTGAACTCGGCTGCTTCCTACAATGTAAAAACTGCTTATAGAAAGTAAGTTCTCATATTGTATAATGGTGAAAACATTTTTTCCCTAGTAGCATGTACAATATTCAAGCAATTTTTGGTATTTTAGTGAAACGGTAGTTGGCATTCTTCATTGAAATGCTTCGTTCTGAGCATTTTCCAGTGCTGAGGACTGAAACAGTGGAGTAAAGGAGTACTCAGGGCTGCATAAGTTCCTGCTGCTGTAGTATATTACAATTCTGCTCATTTTCTTATCAAGAAGCATTGACTTCCAGCATGTGATGATGCCATTTCAGAGTACAACAATGAAATTTATACAAAAAGCTTTGGCAAATTCAGCTTTGCAGTTTATGGTGATTAACACAAACGAGCTTTGACCTCAGCCCTGTAGATGCTGCATGCAGGTGGGAGACTTTTGTACCAGTTTCTTTAACTTCCTGAACACTGTTGCTAGAGCAGACATGTTTCAGATTGCATATTTAAATGTCATCTTTGTGGAACCTGTGGAGTAATGGCTTCAGGGTATTAACTGTGCGTTGCTACGGTGGACGTGACAATATTGATTAGTAAAAACATTGCTTGTAATAAAAAAACGCACAAATCTTTTTATTCTGACCCCTGTTCTTTGGTTCTCTTTTAACATTTCAAATGGAAACCTTTTAGGAATGACGCTTTTCAAGCTCATTTTCTAAATAAAGATTATTGTTATTTATCCTCCTGGAAGTTTGCCAAGTAACAATTGGGCTTTTTGAGTGAAAGGGAAGAATGAGGTTCTCTTGACTTGAACCTAAGGAAATTTGGCTGATTCAATAGGGATGACTAATGACTCAACTCATGTTCGTGTTGATGAGGATGAAAATATTCAGACTATCTTCAGTGGGATTTGAACTGGGCACATATTTAAGGTCTGTAATTTACAGAGAAGAGTATTTTTAAAAAGAGTGATTGGTAAATATGTACTAGGTTGCTGTTACAGTGGAAATAATGGTTGTATGGACGCATGATAATGTGTTATCACTTCTGTATTTATTCTCTGACAAAAGAGCTGGTTTGTATTTCTGTCACCTGTAGCTGGATCAGAGCGTGCACAGGGAACAAGCTGATGCATGACAGTCTGTTACCATGTGCTGCTTTATTTGTACGCCCATATTCTAATGCTGGGCCAATTTTAGCTGTCATTGTGCATTTTCAGAACAGCGCACGTGTTCTTAGGCTTTCCTGTCACGAATTCTTAATCGGATGGGGTTTAAATTAAATCTGTGGGAAGCGCTTGTGTGTATTCTTTCTCACCATTTGACTTGTCTGCATAATTGTTTCACTTCGTGATCTTCTCTGGCTTTGCTGTTGTTGCTGAGTGTTTGTTTGGTTTTCTCCTGAAGTTACTGCTCCTCTTGCTTTTCTGTGAGCAGGAAAATAGGTTTTATGCACTTCAATATATAAGAAATAAACCACCAAATATAAATGAAACTTCTCTTGTATCCGTAGGTATCTGTATGGTTTTGAAGAGTACTGCCGTTCTGCAAACATTCAGTTTAGGACCATCCATCACAATGAACCAAAAGTGGTAGAAGACATACAGAAACACGTGGAACCAATGGAGGAAAGTGTAAAAGAGGAACAAAAAATGCCCCCAACAGAAGTTAAAAAAGAAGCAGAAGAAAATTATTCCAGCAGTGAAAGTGAAAAAGAAGAAATAGAATTAAGATCCCCAAGGGTAAGTTGGTTGATCCGATTTCTGTTTAGTACCAAACAAAACCCCTTTGTACAAGGAGCAGTTCACATAATGAGTTTTCCCTTGTGGAGTGATTGTACATTTGAATTAGCTCGTGTTCGAGTAGGACAGGGTCCTGTGAGTGCAGAGTTGGTGTTAATTCTTAATCGTGTTCTACCTGGGAATAGAATCAGTATTTCATATTTCCTCGTATTCTGAACATCCACGGGGTTTGTTCAAGCTGTGTGGCATGTCAGACATGGTTCAGTTCAGAGATGGCTTGAGAGCTGCTGCGAGCTGTGTCAGAACAGTGCAACTCAGCAGGACAGACTGGGTTGTGGGTGAGAATTTCCACAGGCACACGCAGTCTGCTGGAGCTTTCCAGCAAGAAGCAGGAGTATCCCAGGGACTGCTAAAGCTTTAAGAATCAAAGGAAGACCCGTTTCTCTGTGTTGGTTTTTATCACAATATCTCTTCTTTTAATGAAAGAAACACTGATTTTACAGGATGTAGACAAAAGTGGAGAGCAGAGACGTTTAATCTTTGTCTTCCTCTGCCTTTGAATGCTGTAGAGATGAGGGTTGTATGAGTAGTTACATGGGTAAGACCAGTGACCCATCAGCTGGTGGATGCTGAACCTGATGAAGAATGTGAGGATACTTTCAGAGTGTTTTTATATGACTGGCTTAGTGCTCTGTAGCACTCCTGATAGTTGTTTAAATTATACATTATGTGTTCTTTAACAGCATGATTACTGAAGGACGAGGAATTGCTGCTGCTTAAATTGTTCAAGTTGTAAGGATTCAGTTCAACTAAAATGTAATTCTATTAAATTATTTATTGCAAACCCACTTTTCAAGCAAGTATATGGCTTTTAATAGATGAGAAGACTTAGCGTAAACATAGGATTAGATTTGTATTATGTATTATATTTCTGTCTAACTGCAAGTGGGTTTTTCAGGCTGTGTCAGCCTTAATGAACTTCCTGGCATGATGCTAGCTTTGTTGTTGACTTGTTCTGGTTTTTTGTTTCTTTTTGGAGAAAACTTGTGAGAGGATAAAGGAATGGAGGAATTTTTTCTTTCTTTTTATCAGTGTCGGTCTACTTTAAGTTGTTGATGAAACAGATAATCAAATAATACTTAAATATTCTTTTATTAATCCGATTACCAGCTATCTATTTATGAATTATTATTGTTTCAAAGTATGTACCGTTATACTACCATGAATTTTAATTATTATAGTGCCTTCATTACTGTCATCTTTGGATGGCCTCCAAATAATTAATCTTGCATTCATAATGCATTTTAAATGTTCTGATTGCAAGGCAGTGACCCTATCCAAGAGACTTTTAATAGTAAAATGATAAACCTGTACTAGATCCCAAGAACTAAGTCACAGCTACTTCGAGTTCTGCTGTCAGGGACCGTCTTTCAAGACTGTGATAATTACAGTTTTTCTGAAGCTGACAAATTTGTGTTCTGTGAAACCAACAGGTGGCTCTCAGGGTTGAAGATGCTGAAAGGAAGATGGTTTTTCTCAGTAGTCATACACAAGCACTTTAATTAATGCTCTTGCTGTAGTTGAGCGAGGAATTTTGGCCCTTTCTACTGAGGCAACAGACCCTACATGTCTGAATATCCTGAAATCCTCCAGAAGATAATCAGAAAATAACCCTCTCTGTTTTGCTTTTTTCCTCGATAACAACACTTCAAGCTAAGATCTTAAGATTTTTAGAACATTTTGCTTTTTGGTGTTCCCCCAACCTTTCTTCTGTACAGGAGTAGCAGGTTTCCCTTTCCGTTGAGATTTGGAGAGACTATACAGAGAACAACTGACAAGGGTCATTAAACAGATCTCATTTCTGTTCTAGGGACGAAGAAGGCTTGCCCGTGATGCGACCCCTGCTAAAAAAGAGAGTGAAGAGGATAAAACACAGGACAAATTAAAAGACAGTAATAAAGAAAACAAAGACATAGAGGAAACACCTGAGAACGCAGAGAAGAAAGAAAACGAACCCTCACTAGGGAGAAAAAGTACACCAAAGCAAAAGGAGAAAAAAGTTAAAAAACAGGAGGATTCTGAGAAAGAGTCAGATGAAGAGGAAGAGAGGCAGAGGGAAAGGTGAGCATTAACTTGTATCACCTTCTTACGAGTGTGTCTGTGTCGTGACTGAGCCGTGCTCCAAGCAGGAGTGTGCCCAGAATTGGAGATCTGACCAGTTCCTAAAATGTGGAAACTGGGGAACTAATTCACTCGACCAGACAGGAAAAGGAAAGTTTTATTTCAGGTTTTTGGGGTCTGCTGTACTTCATGGAAGCATCTCTTTATGGTAGATGCCAGACAGTATTTTTCACTTTCATTTTTATTGAAGGTCTTGCCAAGGTGGTTGGTGTTTTGTCACCCCAGTACCTGCAGACACCAAGTAGACCAGGCTGTAATTGTGGCAGGTGTTGCATAGGTGGTGACGACTGTTTGGGCAGGTTGTTCTGGGCAGTTGAAGGGGAAAAAGAGAGCCCCTCTTCTCCTGTGCTTTTGTTCAAGCACTTAGTGATGGCTGGGAACCTACAGCTTGTGTTTGTCGTTACTTGATGTATTGTAGACAGGCAGGAAGGGGATCAACTGCTAAAGCAAAAGAGAAGAGGGAGCTTGAATGAAACCTAGAGGTGGTTTGTAGAGGAGAGCGTGGAGAGACATGGAAGAGCAAAGGGAAAGTGGCATCCAGAGACTGAGCTGGACAAGTTGAATTGGATTTATAGTCTTGGTTACAGACAAGTTGTGAATAGGTTCATTATTACAGCGCCTCCATTACTGTCATCTTTGGATGGCCTCAAATAATTAATCTTGCATTCATAATGCATTTTAAATGTTCTGATTGCAAGGCAGTGACCCTATCCAAGAGACTTTTAATAGTAAAATGATAAACCTGTACTAGATCCCCAAGAACTAACCTACTCCTAACTTACTGTCAGAGTAGACCTCTCAGCTGACTTTGGCCTGATAGGGTCATTGCATATTTTCTCCTAAAGAGCTTTGAGGAGTGGGAACAAGACGTTTATTTTAAAGAGTCGCTGTGCAGTCTATAAAAAAAGAGCCTTGCAGTGCAGCACAGCGTGCAGGAGTCCCTCCAGTGAAGGTGCGGTGTGGGTGTGCGGCAGGTCGCAGAGATGTCAGGTGCCTGTGGCATCAAAGAGTTGAAGCGGTGCTGCTGGTGCTTCTCATCTTTCTTTTCATTGTTTGCCACAAGACAGTTCATCTTGCCCTGAAGGGCTAGCAAGTGGATTTCATTAAAGGCAAACAGTCTTTTTCAGTATTTTATTACTTTTTTGTAGTTTATCTTTTACGTCATGTTAAATTCACCCTACAATAGGGAGAGAAGTATAGGTAAAAACAAGTTGCATTGTAATTCATTGGTTAAGTAGAGTGTTTGAATACTTGATATAGCTATAACAAGATGCAGCTATAGCTAATAAAAGACACTTTTAATTTGGTTGAGCACTGTTGTAGTCAACGTTTCTTTCAGTGAAATGGTGTTTGTATCCATGAGAGGATTGCTACGATGCAGTTCAACTTCATGTGCGCTGTTACTAAACTGTAGCTTATGAAGCAGACTGTAGGAGAGCTAATTTTTTTTAAATAGTGTGCCAAAATCAAGGTGATTTTTAAAACTGAAGTTCTTCCTGTCTCATTTAGGAACCAAACACTGAGTTAACTTACTCCTCTTTCTGTGTTGTCAAAATACTCATTTAAGAAATGAGCTTTAAGCTTTGAGGCAGCTGTGCACCTAAGAAATTGCGTTTAAAATACAATTTTTCTGGATATTTTTGTCACTTTCTGCTGTTGTCTCTGAAGTCCTGGTTTTTACTTTTAAGAAGCTGTGTCCACGCGAGCTTCAGTGGCGGTGCAGCCTGCAGAAAAGGAGAGCAGTATTTCTTGCAGCCTTTTCCTTTTGTGGTAGCTTGGCTATGCTAGTTAAATGTTAAAGTTGTGATTGTCAGTAATTAGTGGGCATTTTAAATAAACTTTACTGCAGGGAGGAAATTGAGAACAAAGGCGAATCAGAAGGTGAAGAGGATGAGGAAGATGCAGAACCCTGCCTGACTGGAACCAAAGTGAAAGTAAAATATGGACGTGGAAAGACTCAAAAAATTTACGAAGCCAGTATTAAAAGCACAGAAATTGATGATGGAGAGGTTTTATATTTAGTTCATTACTACGGTTGGAATGTAAGGTGAGGATAACAAATTGCCTTTCATTTCTTTCTTTGTTTAAAAGGTTTATTTGCAAAATAACTTTTAAGAAAAAGAGAAATATCATCAGTGACTTGGCTCCAGATTGAATTATCAACATTGATAAGAGGATCTGACTTGAGTGTCAGTAATTTTGTCCGTGGTATGGCACCACCTCATTGAAATTTTAGAATACACTTACTTGTATGCTTCCAAGTTCCCATCCAGCTTAAAGTGAGTAATGCTCACTCCTCACAGGAGTATCCCTGTCATTTATTGTCAGCTACTGTAGCACTATCAGCCTCTTTTATTTAAGGGAGTCATTGATAACGGTGAAGACATCTACAATTAAGGGTATCAAGCACTGAAATTCTGGTGACACAATTTACTCCTGTATTGAATGTTAACTGTGATTATAAAGAACACTTGTTAAAACCAGAGAGGTGAGGAGAGGGGTAGGCAACAATGAACTACAGGAAGAGATTCATCAGATGCTTCTCTCAGAAGCTGTGCTTTATGTTCATTACTGCTGTAGAAATGGCTTCTGTTGTTGTTCTTAAGAGCATTGTGATTTAAAAAAGTGTTTTATGTTGAGACGTGGTATGGTGAAAATTGCCTTTTGTATACGATGTGAAATAACTGACAAACTTCAGAGCTGCCTCAGTCCCCTGAGTTGCGGCGCTTCGATAGCAAGAGGCAGGGAAGTTTGCACCTCCGTTCCTCCGTCCTGCAAGGTGTTTTTGTGGGCTGGAAATAGAGTTCATCTTCCTTATGCCAGATACTGCATCTATTTGTAAATATATGCTCTGCTTTCCTACCTCTCCTTGACAAATATTTACTATCACCCAGTCTTTTAATCTTCATGTTGCAAACAACCTTTTATATGCAATAACTGGATGTTGTTATTTACTTTTAGATATGATGAATGGGTGAAAGCTGATCGGATCATCTGGCCTGTGGACAAAGGAGGACCAAAGAGAAAACAGAAGAAAAAATCAAAAGTAATGGTTATTTCAATGAGTTTCTTGCAGTACAACACTTACGATCACTGCTTTTTATTTACAAAAAAGTTACTCAGCCCACAGTCTAGTTTGTTAGCGGAAGTATAAAGCAGAGGGAGAAAAGTCTTGGTAATCAGCAGTGAAACCGATTAATAAAAATGCATTTTTCCCCCCCTCAGAATAAAGAAGACAATGAAAAGGATGAGAAGAAGGATGAGGAGAAACAAAAATCAAAGCGTGGGCGACCCCCTCTGAAGTCTACTCTTCCATCCAACACATCGTGCAGTTTATCCAAAGCACCTACTAGCGAAGGTAAATCAGGAGCCAGGAGTGCACGGAACACCTTGTCAGATTCCTCACCATTACCAAATGGAACAGAAGGTACATCTGGTGCCCTCGCTCTGGCGTGGGAGTGCATGCACACGGTGACGTAACGCGCAGCATTCGTGTGACAACTTCAGCGAGCAGAGGGCTGTCAGCAGCTTTGAGGTCCTGCAAAAGCGCAGGCGCTACAACAGAATAGGCTTTTGGCGCAGATTTTGCTCTGTGAAAATTAATACTTTTCGATTTTGATTTTTAGCAACGCCTCGCGGGCAGCCGAGACGTAACTCAGTAGTGTTTGATTCTGGTAGAGGATCAGATGGTGGATGATCTCAGTCCGGTGTGTGCTTTTGAGGTTTTTTCAGCACCTTTTTGAAAAGAGGTTTGATTTTTATTTTTTACTTCTGGTTTTTTTTGCCCCTGTGAATTTTATCGAGGAAGCAGTTGAGCTGACACTGCTGAGGAACGCGGTTTGCTCACAGAAGAGCTATGGCATGGAAGTGACTGTGCAAGTCATCCCGTATTCTTTAGCCAGACCTTTTCAGTCTTAATCTTGAACAGACCGAATCTAGTGGCATAATGAAAGTCTTTATTGTGGTAATTAAGTCCTCAACCTCAGTACTGCTTCATCCAGCAGAGCTGTTAATTATATACAAATGACAGCAATATTTTTGGTATTTCTAAGCCTCTGTGAAAAGGAACTGAAGCAAAATCAGTGTCTCCTTTTAGTACAGGTCTCTGAATAATCTTCTGGTAATGGAGCAATGCTCGCTCTGTATATGGTGCGTAATTCATACGATAGTTTAGCAATGAAATGTCCGTATTGTGGCCTGGAAGGGTTTTTTTTCTATTTAGGGGTGCATGGAGGGGAGGAGGCTTGGGTTCTGTTTCTGTAATGTCAGGTGGAGGAGGCATTATCCCCAGGTAGATGGTGGGAATCTGAAAGAGACTTTTTGCTACTATAAACCGTACTTCGTTTATACTGTGCTATCTGGGAAATAGCACAAGTTTTTGCTACTGTAAACCGTACTTTGTTTATACTGTGCTATCTGGGAAATAGCACAACTACTACTGTTGTGGTTTCATAAAACTTTTGAGTAAAAATAGCTACAAGAAGTGTGCAGGATACTGCAGGATTGTTTTAAGTTGGAAATTGTTTATTGTAACTGATATGAATGCTGTAGATTACTGACGAGTTTTGTGTGGCTGCCGAAAGAAACTGTGCTGTAATTGGTGACTTAGGGTGCTGTTTCCTTCTTTTTAAATTTTTTTGCAGACTCTGGCTCATCTGACAGTGAAGCCGATGAGTCATCTGAAAAGAATTTGAATGAAGAATTTTCTCCAGAAACTACAGAACTGGAAAAAAGTGAGAAACTCCATGATGAGAAGCTAGATGAAGAAAACCCAAAGATTCCTCATGCATTGAAAGAAAATGACAGGACTCAAGTACAGCCATTAGAAACACTGAAACTGGAAGTTGAAGAAAGCGAACAAATTGTTCAGATTTTTGGAAATAAAACAGAACAAATAGAAGAAATCAAGAGAGAGGCTGAAAAATCACCTAAAGGAAAAGTCAGAAGGAGCAAGACAAGAGATCCTTCTTTAGAGAATTCAAAGATTTCACCAGGAAGCCAAGAAGAGGTGGGAAATGAATCTCTTACAGAGCCTGAAAGGTTAGAAATGTCTTCCTTGGACTGTAAAGAAATTTCCAGCACTACTGAAAGTGAAACAGAAGCTTCTACAAAAGATAAGAAGCTTTTGAAAAGGAAAACTTTGGAACAGGCGTTGCCTGAGAAGAGAAATCGAAGAGAGAGTGAGATGGAAGTGCCAAATATCGTCTCTGAAGAGAGGACCAATGAATGTACTGGAGCAGAGGAATGTAGAGGGCCGAATGCCGAAGAGTCCCTCAGAACTGAACATGAGGAAATGCCGTCTCTGGTGGCAGAGTCAGTTCAGCACGGTCAAGAGCTGAGGAATGAGGACTTGGAACGACCGTCTGAAGAAAATGAGAGTGTTCCCTTAAAAGATGAGGATGATGCCATGCCTCAGATTGGTCCTGAGACTTTGCTCTGCCATGAAGTAGACTTGGATGACTTGGATGAAAAGGAGAGGAGCGGTAGTGAAGACACAATACCAGAAAAGCCAGAACCTAGCGCTTCAAATTCAAACCCGTCTGCCTTACCCCCTGCCGTCCAGTCGAGCTTCTCGGTGGCCTCGCCTCTTACTCTTAGCCAGGACGAATCGCGCAGCGTCAAGAGCGAAAGCGATATGACCATTGAAGTGGACAGCGTGGCGGAAGAGTCACAGGAAGGGCTCTGTGAAAGCGAGTCTGCTAATGGCTTCGAAGCCAGTACTACATCAAGCAATTGCAGTATAGCTGTGCAAGAGAGAGAGAGCGGAGAGAAAGGTGAGCACTGCTCTGAAAAGTCATTTACCATAACGATTCCTGGAGTTGTGGCTTTGCTAAAAGTACTGGTGCCTTTTGTCTTCTGATTTGAAATTCCTTTGTTGCTTCTAAAAAAAAATCTTGTTAGCAGCAGAAATGAAATTTGAGTTTTCTCTTTCCTCCCCCCACCTCATTTAGGTCAAAAAAGGCCCAGTGATAGCAATAGTGGAACACTGGCAAAGAAACAGAAGCGTACTCCAAAGCGAACAAGTGCTGCAGCCAAAAATGAGAAGAATGGAACAGGTACGTTCCTGGGGTGGGACAGGGGAAGGTTATGCAGGCCTATAAACGTGGGTGAGGGCCCACTGTTTTCACTGTTACCTGTTATTTCACAGAACCACAGACCGTTAGGGTTTGGAAGGGACCTCCAAAGCTCATCCAGTCCAATCCCCCTGCCGGAGCAGGAACACCCAGATGAGGTTACACAGGAAGGCGTCCAGGCGGGTTTTGAATGTCTGCAGAGAAGGAGACTCCACATCCTCTCTGGGCAGCCTGGGCCAGGGCTCTGTCACCCTCCCTGAGAAGAAGTTTCTTCTCCAATTGAAGTGGAACCTCCTGTGTTCCAGTTTGTGTCCGTTACCCCTTGTCCTATCATTGTTTGTCACCGAGAAGAGCCTGGCTCCATCCTCGTGACACTCACCCTTTAAATATTTATAAACATGAATGAGGTCTCCCCTCAGTCTCCTCTTCTGCAAACTAAAGAGCCCCAGCTCCCTCAGCCGCTCCTCATAAGGGAGATGCTCCACTCCCTTGATCATCTTTGCAGCCCTACGCTGGACTCTCTCCAGCAGTTCCTGTCCTTCTTGAACTGAGGGGCCCAGAACTGGACGCAATATTCCAGATGCGGTCTCACCAGGGCAGAGTAGAGGGGGAGGAGAACCTCTCTGACCTACAACCACCCCCCTCCTGATACACCCCAGGATGCCATTGGCCTTCTTGGCCACAAGGGCACAGTGCTGGCTCATGGTCATCCTGCTGGCCACCAGGATACCCAGGTCCCTTTCCCCTGCACTGCTCTCTAAGTCCCATCTGTGGGATGGGACTTCCTCGTCAGGGATTTTCATCATTATTCATCATGGTTATTGGCTGTTAACTGGAGAGAACAGGGTGGCAGCATCACTGGGCAATCTCATGGCTATTTTTAATGACTTTGCTAGGAAAAACTTCTATAATAACTGTGTCTATTAGCAGTTACTAAATATTTACCATTATGCTGATTTTTGTGTATTGGGGTGGTTACGAGGAGAGCTTGTTCTGTATAGAAACATCTCCTTTGAAGTCTTACGGTAGGTGTTTCTCATGGGGGAAAGTGCATCTATGAAGTACAGAAATGACGTTTGGTACTAAAGAGTAGCTCTCTACCAAAAGGAGCCTTGTGTGTCTTTATGTCAAGTGTGTGACTATTTTTAACTTGCTACAGAAACCTGGATTTCTGTGTTTCTGTAGCTTATATGAGTCAATACCCTTAAGCCCTGTGGCAGCGTTGTTAGTGACTTCATTAGAGCACTGGTGAGGTATCTTTCCTTAATTTAATAAGCTTGCTTTATTCCTTCTTTAAAAAAATGGCTTTTTAAGTAAAGGCCTAGCGAGCCCTTGGCTTCGCTTGAATTTAGGATTAGTACACTTGACATTTCAGCACACGTTGTGTCTGAGGTTACCCACTGAATCTGATAGGGTTTTTCCTTGTGTGCATTCTGGGATCTTCTGAGCAAGATGGAGCAGGATTTTTCCTAAATCCGACTATAATTTTTCTGACTGTAACTGCAGTTCTACAAATGCCAAGTCCAAATACATTTCTTTTGCTGCAGGACAAAGTAGTGACAGTGAAGACCTTCCTGTCCTGGACAGTTCAAGTAAATGTACTCCTGTAAAACACATGAACGCATCCAAACCGCAGAAGATTTCTCGATCGCCTGCAAGAGTGATTTCACCTCACATCAAAGATGGAGAGAAGGACAAACACAGAGAGAAACACCACCACCAGAACGCTTCGCCTAGAGTATACAAATGGAGTTTTCAGCTCAGTAAGAAATCTTTAAGTGACTTGACTAAGAGGGACTTTACAAGAAAATCTGTCCTGAAAGACAAACGTGCAAATTTTGGGATTCTAAATCAGATGTAGGCCTTTTATGATGTAGCTATGGAAGTTCATTGTCTTTTATGCTGCGTCTTATGTACTCTTAAGAATTGCATTCATTTGGTTAAAATCACCCTGATGAAGCTATTTTTTCTTTTCTTCCCACTTTTAAGATGAGCTAGACAACATGAGCAGCACTGAAAGGATCTCCTTCTTACAAGAAAAACTACAGGAAATACGAAAATACTACATGTCCTTGAAGTCAGAAGTAGCAACCATAGACAGGAGAAGAAAACGGTTGAAAAAGAAAGACAGAGAAGGTAACTTTCACATTTGCTTTATGCTTTCCATGAGAAGTTAATTTTCTTGAATACATAACTCGAAGCAACGTGCGTTTAACTGAGAATATTTTTGGAAAGAAGCGTTCTCCTTTTATCCTGTTCGTACGTGTACACATTTAGAAAGAATACTTGTGGCTTTTCAGAACTTGAACCTGACGAAAACATTCACTGACTAATTTATAAATGAGTATTAGAAACTTGGGCTTGCTAGTGCAAGCTCTGTCTGAGTTTCCAGTCAGCGCTCAGCCGGTTTATCTTTGCAGCCGGGCTGTGGTGCAGAAGGGCACAGTTAGTCACCCAGTTGTGTGAGCAGAGCAGTGAAAGCAATTGGTACAAAATCCCTGTCAGTTCTCGCTGACTGTGCCACTTCTTTGAGGTTTTTTTCAACAACCCAGTAACCAAGGAAACCGTCATTCTGACCTGTGCTTTGCTAATCTGATGCTGATCTGTTGTTCTGTGTATTCAGTGTCACACGCAGGAGCATCCATGTCATCTGCTTCCTCGGACACTGGAATGAGTCCATCATCATCTTCTCCTCCACAGAACGTGCTTGCTGTGGAATGCAGGTGATACACGTTTCTCTGCCTTGCCAGCAACTTGCTGCCATGGACATAAATCCTGAAATTCAACCACAGAAAGCACTCAACTGGTTTGACATTGCCAAGTATATTCTGTACACACTTCCACTGCTGGACTGTACCTGTTCCCCCCCATCCCCTCTTCTTTGGTTTAATTTACTGTTCAGAGAAATTAAGCTCATTGGTAACTGAAGGTTTGTAGGCACAATGTGACACGCTTGTCATTGTGTTTGTCTTTGGTTTTCTTTGTTTATTTTGTTAACGCAGAGAAAGGGCACTTATCAAATTTGAAAAGTTTTGTCCAGTGAAGCATTCAGGTGTTGTAGGGAGATCTTAGAAAAAGCAAGTGCACCGAGCAGACACCAGAGTATTATCAGAAAGAATTGAGTAACTGCTGCACTTTGAGCGAGCTGTCCATTAACCCGTGGTGAGGAGTTCCTCTTTGTGGAAGCACTTGCTATACAGAACTGCCAAAGTACGTGTTCAGCAGTGTGCCCAGTTCTAAAGGTGTAAATGGGACAAAATAAATTGTGAAAGGAAGTGTAGTTGACTGAAAACTACAGTTGTAATAAGTCTTCCACTTTTTATAGGATTTTTGAGCACACAATTATGCAAATATTTTAATGTTTATTAATGTTTACAGTGGAATTGTGAATAGGTTTTCAGTGGACTATCTTATCCCTTGACAAAGATATTTTGTCTTTTTTCTATGTAATTTCAGAGTTTTTATTTTGTTACAAAAAGACGAAAAATGAAATATATAACAACAGTGAAGTTATTTAACAAGATTTCTAAAGCTGAAATTTTTGTGTAAAATAAGGTATCTTGCAACTTGTTAAATATATTTATTCAGACATTGGATGTTGTATTTTTATGTATTTTTTAAAATATTAATAAAATTGGAAAAAAAAAAAAGAAAGAAAACAATCTAGGTTAGTTCGCTCTTTGGAGAAAACACAGCTACAGTTACGGCTCTTCGGGAGGTTTGATCCAGTCGCCACGCCTGTATCGCAATGGGTTGTGTGCGTGTCCTCCACATCGGTCTGTAAGCGGGCATCTGGATGAAACCATGACTTTATTTGGAAACTTTGGCAGTCCTAGTACTTACGTTGGTTGGAGGAACAAAATTTATTGGGTTGCCCTTAAAGATACTTTGTCACAAGTTCTTCTGTTTGCTGTACTGCCGAATGAATTTATATCTCCCAAAGTTGAGATGCAACAATAAAGTAAAGCAACTGTGTATGCTTTGTCTGTGGATTGTCCCACGGATACAGTTTGTAAATAACTCTTCCAAATCCATGTATTTAAAGCAGTTTGCATATACATTATGTATAAAAGTGATTTTTTTATCAATTTTTTTATTCATGTTTGTACATTGAAGGGGGTTCTTAACCCCCTCTTCTGTGTTTAATATGCTGTAGAGTAATAACATAGATGCTCTAGACTGTATATCAGGATACTCTGGTTCACACGGCAGAAAGTCAGAACGGAACACTAGTGATGGCGTAGCATTACTGAAATCGATGTTTCTTGAAATTTCATTTTACGACATTTGTCAACTTGTGATTCCAATTCCTTCCATTTTCGCAGAAAATTAAAGAGAAAGTACTCTTGTAAGTGCACTTTTTCTGTCTTTTCTTAAGCAAAGCAGAGCTATTTCAATGTAAGATAAATATGGAGCTCACTAGACAGCGTTAACAAAGGCCATGTTTTAAACATAGGCTCTATATTCTATTCCTATTTAAGTGATTGTTCTTGTAAATGTCTGGGCTTAACCTCAGTAGGAAAGTGAATCTCCATCCATGGTTGTAAATACTTTATTCAGAGCTAACTTTTACTGTTAATCTCACAATAGCTGTGAATAAAAAGCAATAGTCAATTAAAAGGAACTAACACGGGTCACATTTTCTCAGATTATCTTCCATATTTAATATTTGCAGAAGTAAATTTTCAGTTGGGTGAAGTAAGAGGCTCAGTTCCATCTTGCACAGACACCTCTGCCTACAGACTGAGGTCTTAAACAGGCACATGCGCACCCTCGGCACGCACAGATGATGGACAAGCTCTGAGCTGCCTGTAGTTCAGGATGGATGTTAGCAGCACGAACACCAACTGCTCCTCCTCACCTCTCAGGAATAGTTACAGTACTGCACGGGAGATGAAGGTACGGCTCCGTCAAACGTGGGAACCCATTCTGTAGGAGATGGTTGCTCCTTGACGTCGAGAATTCGCTTTCCCACCGCGCACCGGTGCTCACTGGACAGACACGGCCCCGGTAACCACTGACATTGCTGCTCTGGCAGAACACGGCGACTGCCAGGAAAGGGGGATTTTCTGCCAAGCCTCTGGCATGTCACTGATTTCCTGGTTTTATCTCTGGCAAGGAGCGTATCCGTGAGCCAGATTATCCAGTAGATGTTTAAAGTAGTTTCTTACGACATTTAAGAATACCACAGGGAAAAGAAGAAAGTGTCTTGTGCTGCCTTGAATGAAAGTTTGTGCTGTTGAGAATGCAGTAGTTATAATTATACTGAATTGGGATTATTTCTTTTTTAATAAAATATTAGGTATTGTGTTTGCAAGAGCAAGCAAAAGTAAAGCGCCCTCGTGGCAGTGTTCACGCTGCCTTCTGGTACAGCTTTTCTCCAGGTGATGTTATGTACAGATGATTATTTCAACCTTAACAGGTTAAAAAAATGATTAAGATTATGGGATCAAACACAGAGCAGAGCTGTAAGAACTCGGACTCGCTCCACCTTCTGCAATTGATACAAAGATCTTTCCCATTTCTGGTGCATGCATTATTTTTGTATTAGCATAGATCTGAAAGTTGGGAAAAACTTGAAACGTTTGCATGCAAGGACATAAGGTAAGAAAAGGTTCATTTCCCTACTTGTTTTAGTTTTTACTTTCTCTCCACATGAGAGAAATACGTATATGAGCTCCGTCCATACTGACGAGTTTTTATTTTCTCTCCAAGGTGTAAATTTAGCAAGACTCAGTTAAATCTCTGCTTGTTTCTGGCTCCATCAGATCGCTTGTGTTTGAGAAACCTCTTGCTTAATGGGTTTGGACACATCAGGCAGAAGCAGCAAAGGTGTCGGAGCAGTAATGGTGAGCCATTATTTCAACAGAGGTGAAGCGGATTTGCATGAAACATCGTGTATCAACCTGCGCACCGGGAGCAGCAAGGACCTGAAATATGAAGGACAGCAGTAGAAGAGAAAAGGTGATTAAATCACGTCACTGTTTCGGGTATTTTGCCCAAGTTCCGTGTGAATCAAATTCATTTTTAGAAGGTGCAGTATCAGAATAACCCAGGCAGGAATTCTTTACAACGGGTGCATATTCTCATTTCACGTGAAAAAGCCACATGGAAATGGTTACCAAGATTACCTGGGGTGACTTTGGGAGGGAGCTGGAAAGAGAATCTGGCTCTTGTGACTGTCCTGTGTCTCGGTCAGCCCATCCACTGCAGAGAGAGCCTGTTCCCTCCAGAGAGCTTTGTCAGCCAGATGGAATTTCCCATTAGAAAAAGGAATATTCTCATTAAACGTTCTTCTTTTCCCCCTTAAAAATATTCTTGGATAGCTGAGGCGGACAAATGGGTTTTCTGGGCAGCATTTACTGGAATTACTTCACGGCAGTAAGTCTAAGAAATGCTGTTGTTTCTTTTTAAGAAAAGAGCACATTTGGTTTGATGGCTTGAAACAAATCTGACAGATGAAGAGATTTACAAGCCGAAGCAAAAGATGAACGTGTTGACAAAAGTATGTCGAGCTGTTGACTTCACTGCGCCCTTGCGTTTTGCAGATACTGCTGCGCACTGAAATCTCGGTTATTTTTACTGCTCTCTACTTGAGGTTTTATTATTTGCAACAATGTGTAGGATAAAGGCTACCCCTAGAGATGTAAGGAGCATAAAGCGGTGGCACCGGTGGGGATGTTGCCAGAGAATGACTCGCTGAAATTCCAGGCTTTGGGAAAAAGACATGTTGTAATTAGCTCACACTATTTATCAAGCTACTGCCCTCAAATCCTGAGAAAATCTTACCATTCTACCGTATTTTCCACCAAATAGGATGATTTTTTAAGAGCTCTCTGTGAGAGTTTAAAATTACTCACCTTCAATAGTTACCACTAAGTAGCTGGTATTTATTAAGGATTTTTTTGTTTGTTTTGGAAATTTGTGAGTGCCCCGAATTTCCCAAGCATTTGTTTGTCTCCTCCGTTGCTTTGGAGGAATACGTACATTCAATTCTCACTCTGGTCTGAGGATGTGTTTGCTTCACCGCAGTTCAGCGGTGGATTTTGCGATTAGTCACAGCCCAATACAAATAACTGCAATGTCATTTCAAGACAAGTGAAGCGATAAGGCAACCTCATTTGTGAAAGGAGACTGCTTCTCACCCTTTCTGAGAATAGGGCTTGCCTTGCTGCCTCTTCATTTCGAATTATCTCTGCCCTTTCTCAGCTGCTATTCCCGCTTCTTCCCATTTTCAGAGAAATCCTGCTTTCTGCTTCAGAGCAGGTTCTGCTTCAGGGCTGCACCTACCTGCAATTTATACCACTTAGTACCTCCGGGCTGTTGCTTGTTCTGTCTCGGTAGTTTTCAAAGGTAAAACTGTCTGCTTGATGACACTTGGCTTTAATTCACCAGCACAGCTCATTCATTATGATAAACACTGAAGTGCTGCAGTGCTCACTTTCTCTCTGGTTCATTCCTCGCCAGCAAAGAAAACCAGCACTCGAGCTCCCCTGCAGCTGTGAAAACCTGCGGGTGGTTTGTCAGGCACTTTTTTGTTTAACTCTCTCTGAGCCTTGTCGGTGAGGGACAGAGTTACGTCTTAGGGGCGATGTTTCGCTCCTTCCCAGCTCTTCAGAGGAACCCAACGTTTCCACTCCAGCCCCCTCAGTTTCTTCAGCTGGGTCTGAACTCCTCCTCTGATCCCTCATCTGGGTACAGCTCGGCCTAATTTGCCATGATCCTGCCAGCTATGGCAGTTACGTAAGCAGGGTAAGATGGGGGATTTCTATGAAATACTTTGTCATAGGGCATAAGGGTGGGGTTTCTCTTATTTTTCTTTTTAACAAGCTACTTCTTTATGTGTAGGTACAGCTTAAAACCATATCTCTTGATGCTCGTTTCCTGAAAATTTCTTCCCTTATGAATGGGTAAGGTTTAAAGCTATTTAAATAAGAAGGGGGGGGGGAAGGATAAAACCAAACCCTTGATTCCTTCTGCTTACACTCCGCTTCCTACCCTGTGAGTGTGCCATCCCAGCAGCTCCTCTGTGCTTTTTAAAGTCAAGTCCTGTGTTGGGTCTGGTCTCTTACAACTGCTGTTTTTCACACTCTTCGTTATTTTTCCTCTTTCCTTTCAGTTTGCGGTCCTGCCATGGCTCCAACTCTGCTGCCTCCCCACCACCACCACCACAGCCGAGCGGTGCCTTTCTTGCCACGGCAGCTCCCCAGTCGCCTTTGTCACCTACCTACTGCCAGTCGCAGCATTTTTTTTTCCTTTTTTGAGACACCCTTCCTACGTGTCCAGCAGGCAAGAAAACCTTTCAAGAAAGCTGTGAGTTCTTTTCTTTCCTCCACACACGTTGACTGCAGGACCCTTCCTCCCCCAGCCCGGCACAGGGAGCCCGCGGCTCGCCTCAGGTTGGCGCCACCTTGGTGCCCCCGCCCGTCCCTCAGCCTCTGCCACCGCAGCCCCGCTCAGGCGGCGTTTCAAGGGCCCCACATCGAGAGGCGGGAGCTCGGAGGCGGTGGCCGCCCTGA